TTACTCCTGAGCTTTTGGTATGATCCATGGGAGCGTGTGGAGTTAGTGGTACCGATTTATGATATGGGAAACACTAAAAAAAAGTTAGGAGAACAAAAATAACCCAAGAACTTAATTATGGACATAAAACATTGAGATGCCTATTAGACAGGTGAAATATTCTAGACACCTGTTCCATGGAGTCCTTACTTGCCTTGCCCATGACGATGTGCTGATTTCTTTGTGAGGACAAAAAAAAAAAAACTTTAAAAAAATAAATCAACAAACAAGTGTTGATAAGAATGTGGAGAAAGGGAACCCTCTCTCACTGTTGGTGGGGATGCAGATTGGTACAGCCACTATGGAAAACAGTATGAAAGTTTCTCAAAAAATTAAAAATGCAATTGCCTTATGACCCAGGATTCCAGCTGTGAGTATATATCCAAAGAAACCCAAAACACTAATTTGAAAGAATATATGCTCCCCTGTGCTAATCGCAGCATTATTTACAATAGCCGGGCTATGGAAACAACCCAAGTGCCCTCAATAGAAGAGTGGATAAAGATGTTCTACCTATATACAGTGGAATATTGCTCGGCCATAAAAAAGAATGAATGAAATCTTACCTTTTACAACAGATTGGATGGACATAAACAGTATTACGCTAAGTGAAACAAGTCAGTTAGAGAAAGACAAATACCGTGTGATTTCACTTGTATGTGGAATCTAAAGAACAATATAAACAAACAAAACAGAATGAGACTCACAGACACAGAGAACAGACTGATGGCTGCCAGAGGCGCGGGGCTGGGGGCTGGGTGGAAAAGGCGAAGGCATTCACATTGGCAGTTACAAAATCGTCATGGGGATGCCAAGTAAGCGTAGGAAATAGAGTCAGTAATATGGTAAGAACTATGCATGGTGCCAGGTGGGTGCTGGAAATATCCAAGGGGACACTTTGTAAAGAACACAATTGTCTCACCACTATGCCGTACACCTGAGACTCACACACAATAGTGTTGAAAATAAACTGCATCGAGAAAGAAAGACCTTGGTTTGCTCATCTCTACAGAGCACACAGCTGTGCTTCAGGCAGGGCTCCCAGGCCTCTCTAGAACTCTCTGCTCTGAGGTCACAAGGACAGAGGCAGATTCCAGAACCCACGGTTGGGCCGGTTCTCACTCTGCACATTGGCAGCGATGACTAAAAAGCCCTTCTGTTTTCCTACTGTCCCCAGCCCACCCTCGCCCCCTCCCGCTTCCCCTGCCTCTCCCTCCTCACTGGGTTTCCCCCACTGCCTTTGGGAGGCCCCCACTCTGGGCCCTCGGCCTGGCCTTGCCCCTGCCCCCCCACCTTGCCAAACCAAGTTCCCACCTCTCACCAGCGGGCACCCTCCTCACTTGGGAGCCCGAAAGGCCTACAGCCTCCACAGGCCCCCTGGGGTCCCCTGCCGCCCCTGCCCTGCCAGTCCCCCTTCCCCTCCTTCCCTCCGCCCTGTGCGCCTGGCCTCCCTCTCTGCCCTTCACTCTTCCTTTGCCCCGCACCCCCCTCCTGGACCTTCTCTGGCCTCCAGATGCCTGGGCAGCCGGTTCACCTGCCCATCCTCTCCCCCTTCCCAGTCACCTCCTCCCACCGTCTCCCCTCTCTTGGGACATCCTGCAAACTGTCCCCGGGACCTGGAGTCCCTGTCAGTGGGAACCTGGACCTCTCGATGCTTCATGAGTCGGGCACCTGCTGGGCACAGGGAACAGAACATGGTGGGCAGCAGCTACAGGTAATCCTGGTGGGCCCTCCAGCGCTCCAGGAAGCCCCATCTCCACAGTGAGTTCTCTGCCATCTGGGCATCTCGCCTGAGTCACCAGGTGGATGTCCCTCCTGGGGACTGATCCACAGGCCAAAGGAAATGTAACAAGTTCCTGTGCATCCACACGTGGGCCCCTCCAGGCTCTCTGAGCTGCCATTAGAAAGGGGTGGCTGGACCTGGACTCAGGGCATCTTTCCCTGCAGGCCGCTTTCCCTCCACGTGGCCAGGCACAGTCCCCTCATTCAGAAGGAGGCACTGTGCCCTGTGCCTGGTACAAACCCCACTCCCAAACCAGCCTCCCCAGGAGACAGTGACTAGGGGCCCTCTGGCAAAGCAAAGACTGCCTGGGTGTGGGGGACAGTGGCAGTGGGAGGAGGTGGAGCCCTGCTGTGGTACTGGGGCCTGGAGGCTGGGGAGGCCTGGGACCCCTCTGGGGGAAAGTGCCCTGTTCGCTGTGGTCCTGGGCACTCAGAGGGCAGTTGCTGAGCTCTGCAGTTGGCTGAGCAACAGTGTAGCTGGGTCAGGACTGTGTTTCCACAGCCTCCGCGGGACAGCTGTAGGCTTCTGGGGGGGGTGGGAGAAAGCTGCAGCTGGAGGTGAGAGCTGTTGGAGGGGCCTCTCTGAGGCCTCAGGACCTCCACACCCTCCTTCCTCCCCTCCCTGCAGGCCCCGGGGCAGCCAGGGCTACTCCCGCTTCCCAATCGTGACAGAAGCAAGAAAAGGCCAGACTGGCCAGAAATGGGGGAACCTACATTTAAACTCTTCTGCCTGCCCAGCTGGGTCGGNGCCAGACTGGCCAGAAATGGGGGAACCCACGTCTAAACTCTTCTGCCTGCCCAGCTGGGTCAAACAGCTCGAGATTGGACCCCCGAAAATCAGCAGCTCATTCCCTTCTTCCCCTTCGAAAGGTGAGTCTTAGGAGTCCTGACTGAGTGTGGGGAGGGGGACCCCTGAAAACTCACAAATCACACAGCTGCCTGCCTTCCTAGGGGACATCCTGGGCTGGCCTTCCTGGCCACAGTCTGGGGTGCTCGGGACCCAGGCTTGTACTTTCTTTTGGCCCCTGCAGGGGTCTCAGTCTTGATAACCGCCTTCCTGCCGGGGGAAGCTGTGCTCTGAAGACACACCTGTGACTGGCGCCCCTTCTCCTGTCCCTCCCTCCTCTTGACGGGATAAAGGGACACTCTGGGCCGGTGTTCCTGCCAGAGACCCGCAGACTCTTGTATTTTGGGGATGAGAAGCCCTTGGTCTCCTGCTCAGTGGCCTAGAAGATTCTGCTAAGAATGACTGTGGGGCCGCTGGCATGATGCCAGACCTCTGCGGCTCGGGGAGCAGGGCCGCCTGGAGCACACCCTAAAGTCTTCAGGGCCACAGAAGCGGCCTGCCCCTGTGAACACCACCCTGGGCCACACGCACCCTTTTTGGTTCGGAAACTTCTCTGGGAAACATCTGGGGCCCCAACTAGCCCCGGTTCTGAGCCCCTCTCTGCTCTCCATGACCTGTGGTCTCCCAGGCACCAGCATCTCAGACAGGACTGACCAAGGACAGAGCTGTTTAGTGTCCACCCAAGGAAGGAAACCAAGGACCCAGCCCCTTGGGGCCAGGGACAGCGGTCCTGTCCCCTAGAGCTCTCCAGCCCCCTGCCCAGGGCAGTGGTAAGGCTGGGTTCTCAGAGGCTCAGCCCAGGCCCCAGGGCCACAGGGCAATGGGGAGACCTGGGAGGAAGCTGGTGGGAGGGTTCGTGGTTGGCTGGTTCAATCGCTCACCTCTCCATCTTGCCAACTTGTCCTCTTAGGAGATGCATCTGACCCCCAGGAGGGGAGGTGGGAGCCATGTCGTAGCCAAGGTTCCTTCCCAAGTGCTACTTGGGGCAGCATTTAAGCAGCTCAGGGTCTCCTACTGACCCTGGACGTTGCTGACCGAGGCCTGGAGGAGATGCAGCTGGAGTCAGGTTCCCATAAACACAGGTCGGATTTGGAGGCTTTATTTCCTCCCACCCAGAATGACGTCCCTCAGTTTCCCGAGGGAGGTGAACAGAGGCAAGGTCATGGGACTTCATGGAGAGCTTCTGGCTGCCCCAGGGCCCGAGGGAGGGTGGCTGGTAGGAGGACCCAGAGCCTCCTCCGAACCCTGTCCTCGGCCTGCTGCTTGGGGTCCGGAGAGTTTCCTATTTTCCGGAGCTGGGAGAATTAAGCCGAAAGACTCCAGGCATCTCCACTGACTCTCCTCCCCCCCCCAGTGTCCCAGCACCAGTCAACCTCCCCTCGTCTTTCCTTCAACTGAGACGCCATCAGGAGGCAGCAGATATTTCCCACAGCGATAGAAACTATCTGTTAAACCATCTCACAGAAGCACAGGCCAAAAGACCAGGGCAGGCGGGGCTGGCTCAACCAGTCGTGGGCCATCTGGTTACAGAAAGACAACCCGATTGTCCTTTTCATAAATTTTATAATGAATAAGTGGCATTAAATATACTTTTCATTAAAATGGTATTTATGTAAATATTTTCAGATTTTGTTTTAATTTCTAATGCAGTGAATGCCGATAGATATTATCTACATAACTAAGAGTTTGGGGTCCTTAATAATTTTTAACAGTATAAAGCATCCTGAGGCCCCGAGGTTTGAGAGGCCCGGTGGGCCGGGAGGTGGCAGAGGCAGGGTCCCCCAGCCTGTCCCCAGGCGAGGCCCCTGGGGCGAGAGCGGAGCAAGTCTTCATCGGCTCTCTTTTCCCTGCTTTCATTCCTCCTCCTCTGTTCCTCCTCCTGGCTTTTCTCTCGTTTTTCTTCTTTCCTCTCCCCCAGGCTCACCTCTCAGAACAAAAGTTGCCCCCCTACCATCCGCCTTCCCTTCCAGGAGCTGACATTTGCTCATCTAAATGGAGACATAGTAACGTTTGAAACGGGCTTTTCCTTAGTGTTCATTCCATTCGAAAGAGGTGATGTGCATTCAAAACACACTTTCTTGCCTAGGGTTTAATTGATTGTTACTTCAAATATTTAAAACAATACCATGAGCCCTGATCGGGGTTCCATTCCCAGTCAGGGTACATGCCCTGGCTGCGTGCTCGATCCCCAGCAGGGGGCGTGCGGGAGGCGGCTGATCAATGACTCTCATCATTGATGTTTCTCTCTCTCCCTTCCTCTCTCTGAAATCATTAAAGACATATTTTAAAAAAAGAAAAAGAAAGTGCACCATAGCCATCATTTTCAGGTAAGAAAATATTTATTCAGGGTTTAATAACATAGAGGAGGGAAGAGGGTGATACTGACATCCAGCCTGAGCGGGTCACTTTTCCTGGAACTGACGGGGTTGAAGACCTCACACTGATAATACCCAGCGTCCTCCCTCCTGACGGGGTCTATGGTGAGGATGCTGTTGTCCCGGGACAAATTCATCCTCTCTGTGAGCAGGAGACTCTGGTTACTGAAGAACCACCTGATGGAGACCCAGTGTCATCTGTGAGGCAGGTCAGGACTACAGTGTCCTTATGTGCTGTGACTGTGGTGTTGCTGGCTCGGATGGAGGGCTTTCCCACGGGCTCTGTGGGGAAATAGGAGGTGGCTGACTGAGAGTGGGCTCCTTCCTCAGAGATCTCAGCCACTCCCAGTCCACAGTGAGCTCTGTGAAGGTCACCAGAGGATGGCCCTGACCGCTGCAGGATGAGTGTCTTTGTTCAGGTGACAATCTGTAAGGAGAAAGCTGCACCCTAGATCACCCCAGGATGATCCCTGACCTGTCCCCATGGACATATCTATATATCAACACTGGGAACCCCTTTTCAGCCCATGTGTCCTACAACCTCATTCTTAGGTGGAATTTTTTTCTATGAACTTTTTGATCCTTTCCTAGAACTTTCTTTGACTTCAAAAAGATCAGCTCCTGCTCCTCATGTAAACTTCATGCATGTTGGAGAAGGCGGGTTTAGCACCTCTGTCCGTCTCCGGGGCCCAGGAAGCTCTACAGAAAGTGGACGGGCATTCACCTCTTGTTAACTAATTTATTAGGCAATAAAACAGCCCAACCCCGTCTTCATGACCTTGGATCTGGAAAGGTTCCATCCTGGTCTGTGATTAGCTGTCTCCGGGAAGGAAATCTCTAGAGAGGAGAGATTTTAACAAAAGGCAGGGACTGTAGGAACAGAAGGAAACTCCTCGATATGGTCAAGGCCACACATGAAAGCCCAGAGCTAACACAGCTCTGCATGGAGACCCTCGGAAAACGTTGCTAAGATCCTGAGCGAGGCAAGGACGCTGCTTTCCGCATTTCTACTCACCGCAGTACTGGAAGTTTGGCTGGAACAATCAAGCAGGAAGATGAAATAAAAGGCATACAAGTTGGGAAAGAAGAAGAAAATTCTCTCTTTTAACAGGTGACATAATTTTATATATAGAAAATCCTAAATATTCCACATACAGAAAAAAACTGTTAGAACTAATGATTTCAGTGATGTTGCAGGAGACAAAATCAACACAGCGTCATTTCTTTTTCTTTACAACAATGTTGAACAATCCTAAAATGGAATTAAGAAAACAGTTCCATTTACAATAGCATCAGAAAGAATAGATAACTTAGGAATAAACTTAACCCATATGTGGGAGATGTATACACTGAAAACCACCAAACATATTTGAAAGAAAATAAAGACGAAACAAATGGAAAGACATCCATGTTCATGGATTGGAAGACCCCTAACTATCTACATCTTCGATACAATCCCTATCAAAATCCCAATGACTTTTTTTGCAGAAATAGAAAAATCCATTCTAGAATTCATATGGAATTTCAAGGGACTCCAAATGGTTGCAACAATCTTTTTTTTGTTTAAAGGACGAAATTGGAGGTCTCACACCTCCTGATTTCAAAATGTACTGAAGAGCTAAAGTAGCCAAAACAGTGTGGCACTGGCATAAAGGCAGACACACAGACCATGGAACACAACAGAGACCCAGAAGTAAAGCCTCCATTACATGATCAAATGGTTTCAATAAAGGAGCCAAGACCATTCAATGGAGCAAGGACAGTCTTTTCAACACATGGTGGTAAACAACGTGACCCACATGCAAGGGAATGAAGAGGACCACTGTCTTACACAGTGGACAAAAATTAATTTGAAATGGATTTAATTCTAAAGGTAAGACCTAAAACTAAAACTCAGAAGAAAATATACGGGGAAGCTTACTGACTTTGGGTTTGGCAATGATTTCTTGAATATGACACCAAGAACACAGGCAACAAAAGAAAAAAAATGATAAATGAAAAATGGTTCATCAAAGGACACAATCAACAGAGTGAAAGGAATGAGAGAAAATACTTCGAAAATCATATATAGGATGAACTGTTAATGTTCAGAATATAGAAAGAACTCCTACAACTCAACAGCAACAACAAAGCCAAATAACCGGGTAGAAAATGGGCAAAACACTTGAACAGACATTTCTCCAGAGTGATAGTGAACATCGCTATCATTAGGAAAACACAAATCAGAACTCTTGGGGTTGGAGTTATTGCTTGTGATGTGGGGTTGGGGTAACTCCACTGTGCAGATAACAGAGAGAACATTGCCCTGTGACTTGGGCACCTGGGAGATTGTAGCTCCCTGCCAGCCTTTCCCAGGAGGCCAAACCCAACCTGACTCAAGCTGCCCAGGGTCCCTGGAGTCAGGAGCCCTGGGATGGGGCTGAGCTTCTCTGTGAGGATCCCAGGGTCCCCTCAGGCCAGGCCCTGACAGAGAGGTCGTTCTCAGGGTCATGGTCCTGGAGAGGGGCCCAGGGGGCTGGACTGAGACTGGTCTCCCTCTGCTGAGTCACCCCATCAGGCTGGTCCTTCCGTCTGGGGTGGTGAATGTCTGCAGGGCTAGCATCTGGGAAGGGAGCTCTGATCTTAGGAAGTTTGTGTCCACTGTGTGTGACCTGCACTAAAGGCCCAAACCCAGCCTGGGACGCGATGAGAGGTAGATGGAGGCGAGTCCAGGGCAGTCAGTCCTGTGTGTGAAATAGAATTCACCCCACCGACACCCAGAGGCCGAGAGCAGTCACTCACAGTATACATNCAGTCAGTCCTGTGTGTGAAATAGAATTCACCCCACCCAACACCCAGAGGCCGAGAGCAGTCACTCACAGTATACACGGAACCGTCCAGTTGCTCTTTCATTTTGAAAGTTTCCTTTTATGGCTAGTAGAGTATAGTATCCTGTGTCCTTCAGCGTGACCTTCTGGAACAGCAGGGATCCATTGGGGTATATTGTCTCTCGACCGCTGTATAAAGGTCCTGGGTGTATTTCATCAGTGTCTATTATATATGATGCAATTTGATGGCTGCTGTCCACACTTTCCCCTTTGAACCAGACGTAGCCTGCAAGAAACCCTGGCAGACTGTGGACTCGGAGAAGCACATCCTTCCCTTCGGCAGCATTGGGCGGCACTGATTCAACCCTGGGTTGGGCCTCGGCGGGCGGGCTCCAGAAGGTTAAGAGTGAGACTAGGAGGGAAGAGAAATGGGTCAATATTTGGATCTGTGTGTTGGGATGGAGAGATGAGGCCCTGGGTCCTGAGCAGGTCTCATCTCTCAGCCTTGGGGTGTGTGTGTGTCCNGTGTGTGTGTGTGTCTGTGTGTCTGTGTGTCTCCCATGGTCCAGGTCAGCAGCGTGGCCACCATGGCTTCAGCTCCTCTGAACCTACAATTTCCTGTTCTGAACACTCTTTCCAGGTGTCTGCCTGGCTCACCCCCTCACTGCCCTCAGACCCCTGCTGACACTCGGGGGTGTCCCTAGGAGACACCTTCGCTGACCACCTCTTCTAAAGACCCTCCTTCTCCACTTCCTGACCTGTCCCTGCTCTGTTCCCTTCATGGCACTTGTGGGTCCCTGACATCACATGTAGATCTTGCCTTGTCTGTCTCCTCCCCATAGAAGGTGAGCTCCCTGGGGCCGGGGCTTGTCTGACCTTGTTGCACCCCCACTGCCTGCAACAGGCTGCAAAGACCTGGGGGTGAAGGAGTGAGTGCTCCCAGGGGCCTGCACCTCCTGGGGTACATTTGCCCATTTCTGAGGTTGGTGGTAAGGACTATGTTTAGCACCCCTGGTTAAGTACCCCACCCCTGACATAAATTGTGATTATTGTCATCAGGTTCTAAAACTTATTGTTCAGAAATTATAAACTTTAAAGACATAGCAATCAAGGTTTTCCTGCCCCTCTCCACGTCCAGATCACGAGATTTTCCTGTTGCTGAGCCCCTCCCCCGTCCTACTCTGCTCCCCTGTCCTCTCCCTTCAGGTCCACACAGAAGCCCTCTGTCCCCTCTCAGAGCCCTGTCCTCCCAAGGAGATCCCAGCCAGTCTCTGTCTCCCCTCCTCCTGTTCACCCCCAGGGATTGTCCCCTCCTTACCGGCCAGCAGGAGCCCCCACCAGGGGACACGCCCTCTGAGCCCAGGGGCTGAGGGGGACTCCATGGCGTCTGCTGCCTGCTCTGTCCCTCCCTCTGTGAGAAGAGCTTGGGCTGCAGAAAAGCTCACAGGCACCTTTGTCCCGACCCATGGGATGTGCTGTCCTTTCACCCTGGGTGTGGACCCTCCTCCCAGGGCAGGAGCCCTTCCCAGGTCACGTGGGAGGGCGGGGTCTCCCCCTGGGACCCTCCTCTCCCTACCCTCTCATTCTTGAATCCCCCGTCCCCTCCTTCACTTTTTCTTCCGTCTACATTTCTGTTTCCTGGGAACTGCTGGGGCTTTGGCTCCTTCAGCTGCGATTCTCAACCACACACACACACACACACACACACACGCCCTGTTAGGACAAGAACAAGCTTGTGGTGTCAGAGTCCCAGGTGTCCCCCAGAGCCCCCTCTCATCACGTGGGACTTTTCCCTTTAGAACAGGAGCCGGGGCCACATCAGGAACTCTTGTCACAGCAACGTCATCCCCGGTGTGCATCAGAATCACCTGTGGAATTTGTAAAAATTGTGATGCCCAGGTGACACCACAGAAATGCCGCTTCAGCAGCTGCGCAGCTGAGACCCCGAGATGTGGGGCAGCCCCTCCCCTCTCCCCGCTCTCCGTGTATGTGATCTGGCAACAGTTTGGTATAGCCAAGTCTACAAGTTGTACCATCTTAAAAAATAAAGAAGCCTCCTGGCCGGGCGTGGCTCAANGCTCTCCGTGTATGTGATCTGGCAACAGTTTGGTATAGCCAAGTCTACAATTTGTACCATCTTAAAAAATAAAGAAGCCTCCTGGCCGGGCGTGGCTCAACGGTTGAGCGTCGACCTAGGATCCAGGCGATTGGGGTTCGATTCCCGGTCAGGGCACATGCCCGGGTTGCGGGCTCCATCAATGACTCTCTCATCATTGATGTTTCTCTCTCTCTCCCTCGCCCTTCCTCTCTCTGAAATCAATAAAGACATATTTATAAAATAAATAAATAAAGAAGCCACTAAAGGAGCCAATGTTGCAAGAGGTCTTAAAACACTTAGAAGACAAAGAACACAGACAATCGAAGAAGTGGGAAAATTGCTTTTCATATGGAGACATGAAAAACAGCTGGCCGGTGACAGCATTTCTGAGAGCACGATTTGTGAAAAAGCTGTACATTTGCATGCTAACCTCATCAAAAACACCCCTGGAACAAGCGCCTCAGTTTTCGAACTTTTCAGAACTCAAATGGTCTTCTGGAATGGATTACATTTGAAAACCAAGGTACCACTGTATAAAAAAAGGAAAGCAGGATTTTGAAGAANATAAGAAATAGACTTACCATGTGCTCCAGCGATCTCAGTTCTACTTTTGTATCCAAAATAATTGAAAGCAGGATTTTGAAGAAATATTAGCACACCCATGTTCACTGCAGCATTATTCACAAAAGCCAAGAGGCAGAAGCAACCCAATTATCCACAAATGTGGTGTATATATCTACAGCAGACTGTCACTCTGCCTTAGGCAGAAGGTCGTTCTGGATATGGTGCTAAGTGAAACAAGCCAGTCGCAGGAAGACAGAGACGGTATGTCCCACTTTTAAGAGGTTTCTCAAGCACTCAAACGTACAGAAACAAAGAAGGTTGGTCATTGTGGGGTATTTGGGGGAGGAGGAAATGGGTCATTGTTTTTCAGTGGGTGTAGCTTTTCAGTTTTACTGACAAAAAAGTGTGTGAGATCTGAAGGGACGTTACCTGCTTCCCAGCATACAATTACTCCCAGGTGAGATATTCCTCTTTTTCATATTAGGTATTATCTAAGATGGTCCCTCTGCTGGAAGATGAGACTCAGCTGCTTTCTTCCCCATCACTGACACACACACACGCTTCCCATCTTTCCTACCAGTATTTATTTTATTATTTATTTATTTATTCATTTATTTACTTATTTATTCATTTAAAATATATCTTTATTGATTTCAGAGAGAGGAAAGGAAAGGGAGAGAGAGAAACATCAGTGATGAGAGAATCATTGGTCAGCTGCCTCCTGCACGCCCCTTACTGGGGATCGAGGCCACAACCGGGCATGTGCCCGGACTGGGAATCGAACCATGACCTCCTGGTTCATAGGTCGATGCTCAACCACTGAGTCACACCAGCCCGGCTAATGTGAGTTTTCAAGCCCTTATCCTTTGCTCCATTCTCCATATTGGCCCACCCCTCACTCAGGGCCTTCATCTTCACCCCTAAGCCCCTCCCCCCAAAAGCCCTCCTCCCTGGCACCAGTGGATTCACTTAATCCCAAATCTATCCAACATCCCAACCCCCCCCCAGGCTTTACAATTTGCTTATCCCGACTCTGCGCAGAGCCCCTTCCTCCATGCCATTCCCTGCTGCCCATGTCAGGTTTCAACTCCCCACCTCTGGGGCAGATCCTCTAGGATTCAACCCAATGCTCACTGGCCATCATGAGGGGAAAGCAAGACAGCTCATACGATAGAAGCTCTTTCTCAACTTCCGGGTGGTTTTTGCACTCTGTTTCAGATAGGCACACCGAATTTGTGAAATAAACAGAGAAAGCATATACTTGAGAACACAAATGTCAGCCCTGAGGTGGGAACCCAGGTGGACACTGGGGAGTGAGCCTGCAGTGAGACCATGGGGCAGCTGAGAGCAGCCGCGATCCTTACTCCACCAGAGGGTGATGGCCCATGGCTTTTTAAGGGGTTGTTACAATAAATGGGCTGTCGGGGCTATGACAGAATAGCTTTTAACATCTGTGTGATCCTGTTCCCCAAAGGGAAGTGAACAATGTTGGCGGTTAGGGCCTCTGCGGCGCTGCGCCCTTCCAGGCCTCTGTTAGGGCCTCTGCGGCGCTGCGCCCTTCCAGGCCTCTACCACTTCAGCAGGCTTCAGCTGGTGGGGACCAGGCTGGCTCTTTGAGGACCCTTATTTAGGCTGGCTCTTATAGGACCCAACAATTGTTCCTATATAAACAATGCTGGTCCTGTAGTAGAACTGCTCTATGCTCCCCCAGCATTGTGTGTGTTGGCGGGGGCGGTCTCGTGGCCTCTCGCTTCTTCCTGCGTTTGCACTGTTAGTCATCAGGGCACCTTCACCCACGTGACGGAAGTGACCCCAAATGGCAAGTGGTTCTGGGTCCCACGCCCATTGGTGAGGAGGCTTCCTCCAGGGTAGGAGGAGCCCTGCTCTCTCTATAAAAAGGCGGGCCTCCGGCAATGCGATCATAATTGGGACCGAAATCTCCAAGGCGCGACCACGAGTGAAACTCTGATTAATACTCTCCTCAGACGCGTATGGGAAGCTGTGTTGTTTGAAGTCTCTGGGTACATACGGAGCTCCGTGAGTGCTCACCTCTTTGCACAGAGAATGGAGACAGCCACGAGCGAAACTCTGATGAATATTCTCCCATCCATATGGGAAGTTGTGTGGTATGGAGTCTTTGGGTGCGTATGGGGATCCATGATTGCTCGCCTCTTTGCACAGAGAATGGAGACAGCCACGAGCAGAACTCTGATGAATATTCTCCCATACATATTGGAAGCTGTGTTGTATGGAGTCTTTGGGTACGTATGGGGATCCGTGAGTGCTCCCCTCTTTGCACAGAGCATGGAGACAGCCATGAGCTGGGCTCTGATGAATATTCTCTCACACATACAGGAAGCTGTGTTGGCTAAAGTCTCTGGGTACGTATGGAGCTCGGTGAGGGCTCACCCCTTTGCACAGAGCTTGGTGGCAGTCATGCCCGTTCTAGACAGACTGGCTCCAAAACTAATTAAGTGTGTTCTGAGGCTTATGCTCAACAACCTGCTTTCAGCATACAACCTGATGGATGTGCAAGGTTTAAGCCGAAACGTCACGGATTTCTTTAGAAGCCCGACCAGCACGCGTGATTAAGGTTTCTGCTCGTGAATCCTGCTTGTGTCTACACAATCCTTGTGAATTCTTAAAAGAGAACCTGACATTTTTATCAGACTTTGTGGGAAGTTAACAGAGGAGGTTGCAGCTTCATTGCGAACTATAGTTTTGGTATTTTACAATCATCGTCTTCAGGAAGGCGCCGACACCTGTCTTGGCCGCGGGGCCCAAGTCCTCAACTGCGCCTGCAAACACTGCAGGCAGGAAATTCGGATCCTGAGCTTTGTTGTCAACGTCGCCCCCCCCTTNTCCTCAACTGCGCCTGTAAATACCGCCCGCTGGAAATTCGAATCCCCCGAGGCTGAGAGGACACAGCAGACGCAGCCAGGATGTGGTCCCAGGGCTGGCTTTGTGGGGACTTCCCTCTGGTTCTGAGGTGAGTGCCTGGGCTGGGGGGCGGCGCGGCTGGGACCTGGGGGAACCACGAGGAGCCGGGAAGGCCTCTCCCTGGGCAGGAGGGGCAGGCTCCAGGGGTGAGGCGGTTTGGGGGTGAAATCCTGGAGTGGGGCCCTGAGGGGGCTTTGAACCCCCCCACCTCAGCATGAAGAGCGGGAGGGGCGGTGGGAGGGCAGATCCCGGGGCTGCAGGTCTGAGTCAACACGACGCGGAGGAGCGGACACAACATGGCCGCCGGAGGAAGTCGGCGGGGCGGGGCCGAGCCGGAGCCCGCGCCAGGGCGCCCCCAAGGGGCAAGCTGCGGTAGGGACAGCGGCAGACGCAGCTCCGCGCTGCGGGGTCCCCGGAGGTTAAAGGCGGGCCTTGGTTGGGGCGGGTGGGGACCTGAACAAGCCCTGGGCCGTCCTAAAGGGCTGCAGACCTACAGTCTGAACAGCCCAGGACGCGGCTGAGGCCTCTGGACAAGTCGCGAGCCCGTAGGATGATTCCTCCCCTCGAGATTTGCCCCCTCTGCAGGGCAGTGGCCCTTCTTCGTCCCCTCGCCTCCTTTCTTCTTGCCCTCCCCCTCCCTCTCTTTCCTATACTCCTCTGGCTCCTCCCATCCCCGCCCCCCACAGCACCCTCCTCCCACCTCCGCGTTCTAGATTTTTCTGGGCTCCCCGCACCCCAGGTCTTCCTGGTCCTCTGTTCCCCTCGGCCACACCCCGCCTG